ATCATAAACTCCCTTAGGTAATTGTTGAAATAGCTCACCACGGGTACGTTCTACATGACTATTGACATATTGTTGAATATTGGGTTTAAGATTGTTAAGGATTAAGGGAGTTACTTGATCATTGATCAAATTAACCGCAGTTTCTCCGCCTACTTTTTGGACTAAATCACTAATGAAATTCATCTTTTTTACTGTTTTGAATACAAATAGAGAGTTTAATATTTTGTTTTCATTTTTATAAGATTGGATGACATCATTATTCTTCATAGGTTTTTTTAATAAGCCGTAGTTTTAAAAATCTGATAGTACTATTTTAATGGTAATTGGGTTTTAAACTGAATTTAGAATTTATACTAAAAACTGTGCGAATATAAATATTACATAATTTATTAAATATACTCCTTAATTACTCTTTTTTAAAATAAGTTCTTTAATTAAACTGTTTGTTTAAGCCTTCGATTTATTTTGGTTTTAAAACCTTCAGTTTGTTTAAATCTAACATACTTTCACAAAAACGATAACAAAAAGATTTAAAAATCATCATCATTTATTTACTTCCCAATATATTAAGATTCGACACTCATTTGTTCCATCATCTTTGATGATCCTATCACACTTTCATCCTCATTATTTTCCTTAATTCTATAAGCATCAACTTCAAAGGCATCTTCATCGTCATCATACTCATTATCGAAAGCCAAATCAGGATTATAATCAAATAATTCTCTACCTGAAAGTTGTAGATTTCTTCCAGCTTGCATGGCTTTATCTTTTTGTTTCTTTAATTCATTTTCTTCTTTTTCAATTTTTTCAAGGCGCTTCTTTTTCCATTCAGTAAATGTTTCTAATGTTACTGGGGTTAAATTAGTGCCTAATTTATGACGCTAATAGAAAAAAGTTGAATAAATTTTATCTCATGTAGTATTATTTTAAAACTTACTTCCGTTTCTAAAAATTCATCCAATGAAATTTCTTGTTTAATTTCTTCTTTCTTTTTACTTTTTAAAACGAAACCTGGTGGTAAAGCATGGCGATATTTGCATTGAAGACCACCGTTTGGACATTCCCAAAACCAACCATATTTTTGGTTATCGATAGCTTCTAAGAAAAATTTACAAACAATGTCTGTAGTTGTTTTTGGATTTCCATGTTTTGATAATACAACTTCAGCTAATTTCTTATCATCCCAAGTGTCCATAGTATCATTTTCTATTTATTTTTTTAATAAATATTATAGTTATAATTGATTAGTATATTATTATTAATGTACTAAATAAATAAATAAAATTTACCTTTAGTTTCATCTCTAGAATCAGTATAAAGATCCCTTTTAGCACCTTTTCTTTCGGCGTTTAAGTCATGACTAAATTTACATTTTTTACCTTTGATACAAGTACCCGCTTTAAAATGAGCACATAATACAGTTTTTGGATCAGTACCAAAAGGTACTTTTTGAGTAACAACAATTGGTTTAAATAAGTCATGTAATTCTTTTTTACGAGCTTCTTCTTCTTCTCTCTTTTTCTTTTGAAGTGCCTTTTCTTCTTCAGCAGCTTTCTATAACATTTATTTAATATATAGCATATATATAATAATTCAGTTATTATAACTTACCAACTTTGGGTTACCAATATGTTGAGCTTGTTTTTTAACTTCTTCAACATATCGACCAACTTTAGCTGACTTTTTTTTATTTTTTAAACCAAAAGTTTTATCTTCAGCTACTTTAGCTTTTGCTTTTTGTCGGTCTTTATCTGCTTTTGTAGGTGCTTGTTTCTTTGGTGGCATATCTATCTATGTATTATTGTTTCTATTGATTTAAAATCTCTCTTTTTAAAAAAAGTAAAAAGTTTAGCTTGTAATTTAATAACTGGAAATTTAAAGCATGGCCCAAAAAATCTAAATTTTTTTAAAAATTAGGTTTTCATTGGTTCTTTTAATAAGTAACAAATTTTTATTCATTATTTTTTTATCTTATTTTAATATGGGTTCTAATATAAAATTAAAATCATCAATAAGAAACAATGACCTTACTAATACTAAGAAGAAAGTAAGGTTCAGTAGCCAAATAGAAGACGAAGTTGAAGCTGAGGTTGAAGATGGAGTTTACACCGAAAAAGTGTCACGATTACTTAGTCAAACTCATCCATTAGGTATCAAACCATATGGTAATTTATTATTTGATAAAGAACACCCCAATTTTATACCCAACTTAAGATCTCGGGGATTGGGTTCATTGTCTAAATTAAGTGATGAATTGTTACTAGAAGTATTAAGTTATTTAGATGGGATCTCTATTTCTTCTTTAGCTAATTTAAGTCCTATGTTTTATATATTATCTTATTTAGAGGATAATTGGAAAGAAAGAGTAGTCAAAGAATTTAATGGGGATTTTATGTTTAAAGGCTCTTGGAGACAAACTTATTTAGAAAGGAAGTATAGTAAAGAAGGACAAGGGGAAAAGAAAGAAGATAAAGAAGATGAGGTTTATGAAGATAGTAAATTATTTCCAGTTAAGGTGAAGTGGATCTATTCGGATAACTTGTATCAATCATGGTTATGTACAAGTAATTCAATGTATCAATATTTAGGAAAAGAAAATATAGAAAGAAGAAGCAATTTAAGTTATAAGGAATTTATAGAAGAATATGAACTTCCTAATAAACCAGTTATTATAACAGATATAGTAAATAAATGGCCAGCATTTAATAAATGGAATGAAGATTATTTAATGGAAAATTTTGATACACAAGATTTTATTGCTGAAAGTGTAAATATTAAATTAAAAAACTATTTCCAATATTCAAACAATAATCGAGATGAATCTCCAATTTATTTATTTGATAAACACTTTACTAAAAATTGTCCAAATATTGATAAGGATTTTGAAGTACCTGAATATTTTAAAGATGATTTATTTAGTTTATTAGGTAATTATCATTATCATTATTGTATACTAAAACATATGGAATAAATTATTCTAAAATAGGTGAAGATAAACGTCCAGATTATCGCTGGTTAATTATAGGACCAAAGAGAAGTGGTAGTACATTTCATAAAGATCCAAATGCCACTTCGGCTTGGAATGCAGTCATAACAGGCTCAAAGAAATGGATTTTATTTCCACCAAATCAATTACCACCTGGGGTATTTACAAACTCAGATGAATCTGAAGTTACATCGCCAGTATCTATAATGGAATGGCATTTAAATTATTATAAATTAGCCCAGGAATACCAACCTATTGAAGCTATTTGTAAAGCAGGTGAAATCATGTTTGTGCCATCCGGTTGGTGGCATTTAGTAGTTAATTTAGACGACTCTATTGCTATTACACAAAATTATGTATCTCATCAAAATGTAGATAAAGTATTAAAATTTTTATATTTTAAAGAAGAACAGATTTCGGGTTGGGATTGTAACAAAAATGGACCTTTATTTGACGCGTTTGAAAAAGAATATGCTAAATTGAATCCAGAGTTAGTAGAAAATATTAAATCTTTAAAAAAAGAAACTAAAATTAAAAGTAATTGGGAAATTTTAACTGAAGATAACAATAAGGAGAAGGATAATAACGATAATAACGTTGGTGGATTTAGCTTTAATTTTAATTTTGATGATGAAAATGAATAGAATAGAATACAATAAAAAAGCGTGTTTTTAAATAAAACTGGCCTTTATTTGTTATTTATATTTTATTATCACTTATAATTTTATTGTTAATAACTAATATAAATATTTAAAGAAATCGAAATGATAATCAAATAAATTTAAATATTTAAATCCATTTTATATATAAAAATCACCCTATCTGCTATTTTAAATTTCTGCTAAAGCTAACTCCAAATAATGACGAATATCCTTTGATTCTGGGTCTAATGAAATAGCTCTTTCAAAAGCGTCAACAGCTTCACCATAACGACCTAAACCAAACAAAGCTCTACCTTTACGAAAGAAGCCTTTTGGCCAAGTAGGACGAATCCTAGTAACAATTTCCGCATCATAAAAAGCATTAACAAAAAACCCTTTTTCTAAAAAGCAGGCAGCTCTATTTGATAAAAGTACAGTTATTTCTTCGGATAATAACTGAGGTGGGTCCCATACTGGTCTCATACGAGAACAAGTAATAGCTTTAGAATAAGCATCAATGGATTTATCATAATCTTTATTTTTAAAACAATCATTCCCAATTGTTTTTAATTCACCAATACGTTTTTGCTGTTCTGGATTGGGTGGTGGAAGAAAACCACGGTTAGCACGAAAAGCTCTTCCCATCAAGTTAACATCAGAATAATCTTCATCACATTCAAAACAAACTTCTTCATGATGTTTTTGACAAAATAACAAATTATCCTCAAATAATATATCTTCGATAACTCGTGCTGTTGGCTTCTCACTACTCATTTGTATTTACTAATTTTTATCAAGTTGAATAAAATTAATTTGCTTTTTAGTCTTTTGTTTTTTTTATTCTATACTTTTTCAATTTCTATTGGTCAATTTTAAAATTGGTGTGATTGAAAATTCATTGCTAACTAGATATTGCTTCAAACTGTGAGTTTTATACTGAAATAGGTTCTATTTTTTTCAGTAATCATTACTCAATAATTTTTATAAAAAACTTAGAATGTTCAGAAATAAATTTTAGATAAAAAATTCTAAAAACAAAAATCCTAAAAAGCTTGATATAAATTTAAAAATATATTGGGGATGTATTTAAGAATTTTGCTAACAATTTTTCTACTCAAATAGCGCTTAAAAGATGGAAAAAATAATGAACCCAAAAAAAACATCCCCATATATTAGATAAATAGAAAGTATTTATCTTATTTGTAATAAAATAATTCTTAATTTTAAAAAACAAATTTAAATGTCTATTATTGAAAAGGTTTTTTTAATAATATTATGGGGATGTTTTTTATGCTTAAGAATTCTACTAACAGTTTGCCAACTCAAATAATGCTTAAAAAGATGCAAAAAGTAACGAAGTTAAAACATCATGTCAATGGGGGGAATCGAACCCCCGCTATCGCGGCCACAACGCGGTGTACTACCACTATACTACATTGACTTAACTTATTATTTAAAAACGGATTTTTATATATATACTTGAAAATTAAGCAAGTTTGATTTGCAATGAAATAGAATATTACTGTTAAAAAAGTAGACTCTGACCAAAAGTTCAGGATATTCAAGCAAAACGTTGTTTAACTAAAAATAAAAGCTATAGTTTACTTCAAATCAAGTAATTTACATAAAATGTATTATTAACTATGTTGTTTATTTTTTATTTGAAGTAACTTAAAAAAGCTCTTACATAGTTTATTTCGAGCATTTTTAAGTGAATTTTTAGAATAGCTTTAAATATGAGTAAGTCTAAAAGTCTGGTTAGAATTAAAATTTGTAATTCGCTTTTTATCTATTTCCTCTATAGTATAAAATTTGAAAAGAAAACTAAAAACTAAAAAACATTCCAATATAGATTTGTTTTAAAATTAAGTAAAAAAGCAATATCTTGATAGTACTTGGTGCTTAATTTGAAATCCAAAAATCAAATTGGACAAACTTGAACTAAGTTTTCAAGCTAATCCATGAGATTAAACTTAATAATGTTTTTTATATTTAAACATTATTTTAAAAAGTTGTAGCTAAAAACAAATTTAGAAATTTAAAAACCATTCTGAGTAGTATAAAAATATATTCATACAGTATTGATCTCACGTGCTATCATTGGATCAATGCTTCTATCCATTCATCTTTATATCTAAAATTTTAATTAATATTTTATGTCGCTTTATAGCTTTGTAATACTATAATAAAACATTTAGTATTTTTATATATACCTCTTCTTCCTCCTCTTATATTGGGATCTATACCCAACCATCTTTTTAGCTTAAAAGAAACCCCTATAAAGATTCGTCAGCTGAATGCTATCATTTGTGAAGGCTTTTTATAAAAAATAACATTATAATCAAAGGAGCGTTCAGATCTGTACTATTATAATATGGTCTACAATAGGATTTATTGTTACTGTTCGTTAAAAACATTTGAAAATACATAAATACAATAGTAAGTTAAATCTAGTATTAAAAGAAGATTATAATAGCAAATCAATCAAGCTATTAACACTCACTTTAAGTATATCTTTTACTGCCTCATAAAATGATTTATGGAAACGAACCATTAGCTTGAGTGGTTGGTGTTAGACGGTTACTCTCAGCTGGGAGCAGTAATCTTTTGAAGATGTGCCCAATTTTAGAAAAGATATGGGGACACATTTTTTGATTTTATTACCTTTTCTATTTTTAAGCGCTATTTGAGTGGAAAGATTGTTAGTAAAGCTCCTAAACAAAAAAATATATCCCTATATACTTACTGGTAGTCTTACCCAAGATTTATACAAATTGTTTATAAATGTACTGCCAAAAAATCGATCTTGCTAAGAAATGTCAAAAATGATACCATTGAAGATATTCAAAAAATTTACTCTGTTTCTTAATTTCTACATGTCCAGTAGAGAAAATTCTTAATTAAGAATGTCTTTGTAAACAAATATTTGCAAATATTAAAAATTTTCAAAATGAGGACTTTGGTTTATTAGTAATTGCTGCTACTGATGAACAAGAAAAATTAATCATCATTTCTTATCGTAGTGTAATGACCTTTCAAAACTGATTTACTAATTTGGAATATAGGGGTTATATTTTTGTATTTAAGAATTTTACTAACACTTTTTCCGCTCAAATAGTGCTTGAAACATGGAAAAATTGATGAAATAAAAAAACACCTCCATATCTTATCTAGTTAAAAAAAATGAGTTCCTACTATTTGGGTATGTATTTTTGGATTTAAGAATTTTACTAACAATTTTCCACCCAAATAGCGCTTAAAGATGGAAAAATAATGAAGTCAAAAAAGACATCCCCATTTAATTATTATTTTTAGTTATTATTTTTTTAAGTTGAGTATATAACTATAACTAATTATTTATTAAATTTACGTTGTATTTTTAGAATGATTTTAAATTAAAATGTATATCAAAATGAAAGTTTGAAAAAATGTACAATCATCTTAGCTTTAATATATTACTTTATTAAGAATTAATTTTAATATCCCTTATTGACATTGATCAAACGTGACATCCCAATATTGGAAATGAGCTGGCCAAGATCTCAACTGTAATGGGTTTATGATACAAGTAGGATCCTCACCAGCAGCATTTAAACAAAGCTTAGCTTTGGCATCATTGCCTATCCCTTGTACATTTATTTCGTTATTAAAATGCAAATAGTTCAAAGCTATTGGTGGTATCAAAGGAATAAAATCAGTTTGATGAGTGATCCTAGCTAATGTTTTAACATTGCTATTAATATACTTTGCATATGTAGCATCCCCAACTCTTGGCATACCGAAAGTGATTAACTGAAATTGATCAAAAGTGATATATTTGTATTGGACCAAATAATGTGATAGCATACCCATAATAGATCCACCTAAACTATGCCCAAGGAGAGTAATTTTTACTTTTGGATTAACATTAACTTCCCTTTTAAGCACTTCCCCAATTTGAGATAACACAGCTAAACTAGCTTTATTAAAACCAAAATGGACTTTAGCTTGATTGTATGGTGGTGGTAACTCAATGGTTGTTTGAAATAACAAACCATCCACTATCCAATTATTTAATGATTTACTACCTCGAATAGCAACTATAAGTTCATTTTGTCCTTTGTATGCAATATAACCATCAATATCATACTGATCACTACGGATCACATGGATCACCTTAATCTCCCCTGGCCTAAAAGAAGTACAGTATGGATAACATGACCATTGTTGAATGTTTTTGCAATAAGCAGCACCAGCGAATTGAGTATATGATCTTACTTCTTCAATACTTAGGATTTTTGGCGAGATGGCGGATGATTGTTTGTTATCATTTAATATATTACCGAGGATATTAAATATACCGCTTCTAGAACTAACACCTAGATTAACAGTTAAGTTATTTGCATCACTTTGGGTATTGTTAAGTTGGCGTTGGACCTCTTCGTAACCTTGCCATTCACTAGATGCTTTGGAAGAGTAGGCGGATTCTGAAGCGGTAGATGTGATGGATAATACTATGAAAAATAGTAGTTGTAAGTTCATTTTAAATGTTTATTACTATTATTATTATTGTAGCATTTAAGAGTTAGTTTAACTTTTTTATACTTATTTTTTAAAGCCCATGTCATTTTTTCAATTTAATATTCTACAATTCTCAGCCTTTAAAAAAATAATATTCTGATTAAAGTTACTGTACTAAACTTTATTATGCAAGCTATTCTTCTGGCATTTAACTTTTTAATTAGATGAATGAGCATAATAATTAAATTGATTTGTCTTAAAGAATAATAAAGCCTATTATTAAACTACAATCTGTTATTGAATCCAATAATAAAATATGTTTAATTGTCCTTGTTTACAAATAATAATAATAATAATAAGATATGTTTATTTCTATAAAAAAGTTAATATAAGCAAAAGTTTTAAATTACTATAACTTTAATTATAAATTTACCGCAAATTAAAAACAATAGTAATATTTCACCGTTATATATTGTATTCAACCCGTTGAAGGTATATGATATCAGTAATGTTGATAAATAAATGAATGGTGATAAAAGAACCATGAGAAATCTTTATTATTTATTATTTAATATAAATCTAGAACAATTTTGATTGATATTTTGTGAAATTGTTAGTTCATATAGAAATGCATTTACACGGAATATTAAAGAGATTAAAATTAAAACCAAAATAAGGAAAATCAATTTAAACTTTTAAAATTAATTTAATATTTAAAATACTTTGATTCTAAAGAACTAATGATAATCAATCTGGTATATTAAAATTTAACCCATATTCTTACAATTCCTCAAAGTTTTCAAGCATATAACTTAGTTTGCTAGCGGCTAACTCTAAGCTAGCTCTAGCATCTTTTAGCTGAAGCTGACGAGAGACCTTAGGATTTTGATTGGCAAACTGTTGAATTTGTTCTTTAGTCAAGTCATAATATAACAAGTGGGTATCCACCTCTCTAGGAAACTGGAAGAAAACCTCATTTAATAATTCTACCTGTATAAACATAACTGCTGTTGACGTCAGCTTCGACCCTACCATTTGTAAATAAATTTCGGGGCATATGATTTTATTTGAAGAGGAGCGGCATGTTCGGCTCTTGGTCATGGCTAATCTAAATTTAAGTGCAAGTCGTCGATTTCTTAACCATATAGCTTCATTTGCTTTCTCTAAAAGTTTTGGATTAAAATGTGGCTGTACAGCTTCTTCAAATTCATTAGCTGCGTCATCGTATTCTTTCTTATCTTCTTTTGCATTTATGTAATTGATAGCTTCTTTTAATTTCGATGATCCAACCGTTTGTTTAATTTTAGCTAATGAAGAGTCACACATCAAAATCTCCGATTTTAACAATGAAATTGTTTTTGTTCTGGATTCATCCCATTCTTGTTGATTACAATCTACTTCATATTTATAAGGTTTAATTGTATTTTCTACTTGATCAACCGTACTTTTATATTTTGATTTTACAATAGCATTTGAGAATTGAATGATTTTACGTCTCATATCATCATGGTGAATAAATGGCTCATCCCTAGATATCAAATCCATATTACGCATTAAGGTATCCACTACCATTTGAGTCGATAATTTTCCTACACCACTTTTAGTCAATAACGAAGCTGCACGATCAAGCTTTGCAACCCAATGTGAATCTTTAATACTTTCTCGATTCATATTAATTAATAACGGGTCTGACCAATAAACTCTTGCGCAAACATCTAATACTTTTTGTTCCATTACGCTTTGAATTTGATCCTTTATTTGTTGTTTTCCAAATGAATTGGCAAAGTTTTTAAAACGATGTTTAAGGATATCTAAAGAATCTGCAACATAGGATTCTGCAGTAATCAATCGATCATTATATTCTACTTTATATTGATATCGGACTTCTTCTAATTCAACCAAAACTTGCTCGTAAAGTCGTTCAATATTCTTACTCATTTT